AAGGAACCATATAAAATGTCGAATACCCAGGAAAATGGGGTCAAAAGAGTCACTGTTTCCAAAAGATTTCTCAGCATCCTAAAACAATGCTCATGAAGATGTATAGGCATGCAAACAATCTCGGCACCCCAAAAGATAAAACTAACAATTTAAGGCATCCAATCAAAGACTATAAAACATTTAAGGAGTCAGAAGAACAAAAATATTCCTCTTTCTTAGGAGAAAAACTAACCAGTTGAAAGTGACACAGAACCAATAGAGACCTTAGAATTAGTAGACAGGTACATGAAATCATAAGTTTCATAAATTTAAGGCTTAACAAAAATACTAAAGTCAAATTTATAGAATTAAAAATCATTGCATTTATGATGAAAATGCACTTGGCAGATGAATAGCACAAATTTTCATTAGTGTTAAACACGGACCATGTACCAGGTACTCTATGGTTTTATAAACTAAAAATAATAGATTAAGTGTAAAAATACTAATAGCCAGTATTACTCAATAAAAAACTACTAAAATATTAATTGCATTATTTGACTATAGAAGAATACTCACAAATCTAGGAAAATATATTTCTGAACTGATCTGAAATACTCAGATGCCAACTAAAGTAATGATTTATGTTGTGGGTGAAAGTTGTACCTTGTGTGCAAATAGGATTAAATTCTAGAAGAGATTCAAAAAAGGGAAAGGTAGAGAAGCTATAATACAGAAAACATAATTAGAATAAATATTGGAAAATGTTGAATCTTACACTTGAAGTATACATCCACAATCCTCAAATATTGTTATAGTTTATGTTTAGATGTCCCCCCACAAACTCATATGATTAGAGGACCTTTTTCCGAGGCTGAATCTAGCATGTGTGCTTTATTTGTAGAGTAATGCTGGGATTAGAGGTGCTGGGATTAAGTGTGGGTGATGGCTGGATCAGTCCACCGATTGGACTGGCACCACCCTTATCTCTGTAGACAGGGTACAATATAAAGAGCAGAAAGAGCCTTGTCTTCCCATTCTTTTCTTGACTTTTCTGTCTTCTGCTGCCATGAATCATTACCCCTCTGCCACATGCCACCCTGCCTTAAAGCCCATTAATTATGGATTGAAACATCCACAAGCTGTGAGCTAAATAAAACCTATCCTACCTTAACTTTGGGCATTGGGTATTTTGTCTCAGCAATGAGGAATATTTTAAAGTAGTTTTTAAAACAGATACTTTAAAGTAATTTCAAATTTTACACATGTGCTTTCATTTGAACTAAGTGATCAACAAATGAAGGCATGGTAAAAACAAGTCATTCTTTAATATACATGGGGAACTGATTCCAGGATGCTAGGATGCTTTACAAATACCAAAGTTAAAAGTTGTTCCACTCTTTTATGAAAAAAGATGGAATGTTTCTTATACCTACACAGCTTATATACATCTTCCCTATAATTTAGAATCATAATCTCTAAATTACATAGAATTCGAATTTAATGCAAAATGCTATGTAAATAGTTATTACATTGTTTAGAAAATAACAGCAAGGAAGTCTGCACATGTTGAGTGAAGACGCAATGTGTTATTGTTTATACATACATGTCCCCCCCAAAGCCTCAAACACTCTTAGCTGGGGTTTTGAGATGACTGGATTGTGAGTGTGCCGTGCTGCCTTAGCCCACTGATGGGTTTATAACTGGGTGTGATGTTGGGAGGTGAAGCCTGATGGGACGAGATGGATCACTGTTGGTGTGGTCTAGAAGGGTACATATACCTCCTCCAGCCACGATATTGCCACCATGTCATGAACTGTTTCTCCTCTGCCATGCCACCATGCCTTGAGATAGCCAACCATGGACTAAAATCTCTATAAACTGTAAGACAAAATAAACCTCTCCTCCTTTCACTTGTGGGTGTTGGGTGTTTCGTCCAAGCAAAAAGAAAGTAAGACACGATGTTTTTTTCTAATTATTTTCAATCCAATGCTGATTGAACCCTAAAATGCATGCAAACTACCAACAGTAAACTGTAGCACATCAGAATTTGGAGCTATTATTAAACCTTTTAAAACCATAATTTGAAGAATAGTTAATGATGTGTTGAAATGTTCATGAAATGAGATATACTTCTGAAATTTGTGTATAAAGCCAGAGTTTGATTTCAATTTTATAGATGAATATATTTACGAAGACACATAGGAAATATACAAATATACAACAAAACTACTAAAGGATATCAATGGTGAATATCTCCACAGGGTAGAAGTATAGCAGAGTTTCACTTTATTTTTTATTATAGTTCCAGTTTCTTCAAGGTCTAAATGTTTCTTTAATAAATTTGAACCATCTTGTTATAATCACAACTATGCTTCTGAGTTCTTCCCAAAAGATAAGAAAGATCTGCAGCCATAAGAGCTAGATTTCAGCTTAATAAACATGTTAAATTTCTAAGTCAGAGTTATGCAATAAATCAGGCGACCTCTGGAAACAAGCAGTGCCAGCAACTTCAGATATTTCTACAAAGGCTAGTTGACAACCCAAGCGGTATATCATAAAGTACAATCAAGCGTAAGATATTTTTAGCTTTGGACAGTCCTTCTAATGCAAGAATCTATGAGCCCTTAAGTTTGGAAACTAAGATCAGAAGGTCAAGAATCTTGAAGTTCAGCCTCTCTAAAAAATTTAACATATAGATGACATATAAAAAGGTGTTAGGCCTCCAACTGGCTAAATCTGAAATTTACGTTTGTAAGGATATTGGAAGTGTTTTCCATATTAGGAAATGCCAACAGATCACAAATTCCAAGTCACTGTTTTAAAAAAAATTCTGAGTATTTAAGAAATTACTTTTAAATGCATTGTTTACAACAATGAGCCAAAAAATCTGAAGCAACATTAAGTTGAAGAACCAGATATTTTCCTGCTTTTATTAGGTTTTAACCATTTAATTCAAAAATGGCTTTTAATACCTTGGAAATTTACAAAGTATCCTCAGTGTAGCTAAATCCAATAATTTCCCTACATATGTTCTGTGAGAAGGATTTGTCACTGCCTACTTCTCTTACTCTTGCTGAGAAAGCACTCTCTTCTGTATCTTAAAAAGATTCCTTTGCAGTCTCGTGTATCTGACCAGTGAAGCATAAAACACAGGCTGACTGGAGCCAAGATAGATTCAATCACTAAAACTGAAGAGCCCTGGGAGTCAGAATCCCTCACCACTAGTTAACTGGAACCTAAAGGAAATAATGGGAAATTGACTTTCTTGAATTGAACATACAGGAGAGCCCCTGAAATAACTGGAAGACTATTCTTTGGGAAGAGAAACTTTTCATTTTGAAGATCTGAGCAGCTACTTTGAAGAGAAACTTCTCATATGTTTCTGATAACTTCAGAGTCAGGGTTTTTGTTGTTCACATAATATAAGTGACTGTTACTGAAAGATATGTTCTATGGAGAAAGCAACACATGAAGTGAGTTACATCATGAAGTTAGTTCGGTTAAGATCTGCTGTGAAATTCCAAGCAATGCCTGGAAAGTTGGAGCCGCTTGCTCTGTTCAAGAAACACCAGCATCAGGAGTTTGAGTTCGTGTTTGTTGTGACAACAGGTACCACTGCACGGTGATTGTAAGAACAAGCTCTCTTACATTTATCCTAAGTAGGGTTTGTGTGCCATCCGCATTTGGCACATGAGTAACTTCCCCAAGTACTTTCGGTTTGTTCAGGCAGTAAACTAAGGAGCCAGATTTCAAATTCAGATTTGCCTCATTCCAATTATAGCTTTGCTATACCTCTCTAGATTGTTGAACAAATCCTACTTTTTTCCTCCTGGCTTCAATTCTTGGACTGGAAAAGCAAATTAGATGAGTTGGAAGCAATCTCTCAGGATAAATTCTTGTGCAACTGAGGACCTGCTTGAGGCTCTGAATGGTTATTTACTCTTTAGGGTCCTTTGTTAAAATCTCTCATACTTCTGCAGTGTTCTTAGTTCACGCACTTAGAACTCACTTGCTATTATAAATTCTCATTTCTCCACTGGGATACTGCTGTTCTCATCACTGGTGTCTGATTCCAAGGCCACTCACTTCAGCCAATATGGAAGATTTTCTAAAAGTCATTTATTTAGATTCTTAACCCCTTATATCTCTTACAATTTTTCACCAGTCATCTGTTGCAAAACAATCATTAATCTGTGTCACCTGAAGTAATGTGCTACCAATTCTTGTTCTTTTTTCCTCCATAAAACACAGTTTTATGGTAACTAACCAGGCATGGTGGTACACACCTATAATCTCGCACTCTGAGTGGCTGAGCCAAGAAGACTTACACATTCAAGCCCAGTCTAGGCAATTTAGAGACTTATCAAGACCAAAAACAAAAAATAAAAATCAGGTTAGGGAGATAGCTAGGTTTAACACAGTTAAGATGACTCAAGAGATATAAATAATTAAATCCTCAATAAATGCTACTCAGACTGTTGTTGAATGTCCTAGTGATGCTATCTTAATCCCTTATGAATGCTCTGCTTTGGTTTTTTAAAGTCATTACTCCCTTGATCTGTCCTGGTCCTTCTAAGCGTCTGTCTGTTCTGTGGTTCCCCATATAGAATTGCTTTGCCACTAGCCAACCCTCCCCCATACCTGTCTCAAAGTTTTCCACGTAGAGTCAACTGGATTCTCACCTAATGAGAATTACCAAGGGGTGCAGGCATGAGGTTTTTCTTGCCAAACATCTCTATCTCTCCTATCTAAATTAGTTTATAGAACTGTTAAGATGGGCTTACTTTCACACTCTATCTCATCACTATATGTTATCTGGCTTAGTGTTATATATCCCTTGACCACATTTTATATATATGGCCACATTATATATACATATATATATGTATTATATGTGTGTGTGTATGTATATATATATATATATATATATATATATATATATTATATGAAAGGTGGGAAGAGAGAGGGAAATAGGAAGCAGGGAGAGGGAGAAAATGACAACCAACAAACAGTCTTACCAAATGCTTCAGGTAGCCAGGGAACCAGGGAGCACTGAAGGGCTCAGGGCAGCACTGCAGATGAGAGTGTGTTCCTGAGATGAGTCAAGGTGAACTGAAGGACAGAGACCAGCATATATCATGAAGTTAAAGCAGTTGTAGTTGGAGCAGCAATAGGATTTAGACATGATTGTTTACTTCTAGTTTAGAAAATGAGAGCCTGCTGCCAAAGCCTCTGCTTTGCTTCTAATTACTCCTTCCATTTGTTTGGCTGATGAATTGGAGGAAAACACTTGCTAAGACTTTCCGGTGCCAAAGAACTGAATGACTTTCCTTTGTTTAGAGCCGTGCATTGCCCTACATACCTTTTTGCTCATTAGTGCTTAATCTGCTGATTATTCTCTAACACCAACAGATCATCAGTGTCATACATTACATACAGGTCTTAATTGCAGCCAAGCCATTTTTCTCTGCTGCTTAACGCCGACAAGAAAAAAAAATCACCTTTTTTTTTACCCATTGAAGACGAATGAAAACTCTCAAACTGTGTGAAGCAGATGAGAGAGAAGTAACTTAGTTAAAACCCAAAGATTTTCAAGGTCATACTGCTTTCACTGTACAGAACAAGGAAATTCAGAATTATCTAAGATGCTTGCTAACAAAACATCTTAAACTATTTCTAGTGTGTCGCAGAACTGCTAACTCCTATGTTAATGGGCTTACGTGCTGAAGAGTTAAAATACATAAATGAGTAAATATACATAATTAAAGTCAGTATTTATTTCCAAAATAGATGATTTTTTGGGGGAAACATTGGCCTGTATAAATATACATTATTAATTTACATAAAGCTTTACCCAAAATAAAGTGAGATTTCCCTATGTTGTAACTGTTTTCTGAAAGCACACTAACAGCATTCTCTAGTGAAAGTAAATACGGAGCTCACGTTTTCTTAATTACACACACATATAGGTCTGGATTAAGTCTTAAGGATAGCTGAGTCTAGGGCTTGGTGGTAAAACACTTGCTTATCATGCTGAGGTCCCTGGTTCCATCCCTAGAACTGCAATCAATCAATCAGTCTATCAACAAATCAGTGCACTTTAAGGATGACTGGTGTAAAGTAGCAGGGGCAGAGCTTCCTTCATCAGAAAGGCCACAGTGAGCTCACAGAAAATGCATTAAATGACAATTTAGCTACCTGAGGGTTACAAACCACAGAACAGAGAAAGACCATAGAGATTATCTCATAAAACTTCTTGTTTCAAATGAAGAAATTGAGTCAGAGAGAAGACACATTGCTCACAGAATGTCATGTGCAAAGGAGAACCCTGGATCTCCACCGTAGTGCAATGAATTATTTTTTATTTCCTGATTTTTCTTTAATACAGTTGCCGTCTCTGATAATATACTCTTAGGAATCTTTAGAGTGGCATCCACTCTGTCCCTTTGTTGCACCACTTGGTGTCCCCCTCAAGCCTAGGTCTCTGGTGGGTGATCTCTGATGGACAGTGGCAGTAACTTTCTAAAATTGGGTTAACACACATCTGAATCACTTAACTTTTCGACTTAGATTTCATACAAAGTCTACTGTCACCCTACAGTATCTATCACTCCAGATTGTGATTTCAAATCCAAGATGTGGGAAGAATGTATTATTGTTATTGACAAGTCTTCCTCCTTTTCTTCTGCCATTCCTCAAGCATCTACCCTAGTACAGCACCCATGATCCCTAGGAGACAGAGGAGTCAGAAGGGCATGATGAGCCTCCAGGAACCTCACTTCTGCTCTTGCTAAATTACAACCCACCCTGCACCAACCAGAACCACCCTGACCGTGCCTACCTGGGCCCTCACTCTCTCTTCCACTTCCCCTTGTTTTCTACTTCTGTGGCCTCACCTAACTACTGACACAGCTTTTCTTCATTGGTAAACTGCAATTACTTCAATAAAAATTTTGTTAAGGAAATGTTAAGCTGGATTTAACTACAGGATGGGCGGAATAATACTTAAACCAAAATGAATTTCACCTCACTGCTGCACATTATTTTGAAACCCATCAGGGAACTCCATTATTTTTGCCTAAAGCTCCAATTTGGTGTTTCATCAGGACAGTTATACTCTTGGATGTGTTACCATAATCAGGATTCAGACTTATTTCTTCAATGAAGATCACAAAAGGCTAAAGCAGAGCACTTGCTTGTCATAGTTTGAAATATCGCTTATGTAATTCAGTTGACAAGCGCACAGGCTGCTCAACTTATCATGAGGTTACTTCCTGATAAACCCATTGTAAGTCAAAAACATCATTAATCAAAATTGCATTGAATACGCTTGACCTCCTGAATGTCTGAACCTGGTAACAGAGCACCACAGAGTAGGGGTTGTTTCCCATCACGACTGGATAGCTAACTGGATCTGTAGCTCACTGCTGTGCTCAGCATCACAACAGAAGATCAAACACCCAATAGGTCATTAGATCAGGAAAAGATCAAAATTCAAAGTACAGTTTCCAGTGAATGCATGTGGCTTTGATACAATTATAAAGTAAATCATAATTTAAGTCAGCATAAATCAGGGATTGACTTTTTTTGTTCTTCTGCTATGACATACTATGTAGAAACTATTTTGAATTTAATAATATAAAAATATAGAATCTGATAAAGATGTTTAGCAGTTGCATCTTATTTTAGCCTAATTGTTTTGACTATATAAAACCAAATTCCACCTACCAACATTTGTTTCATACTTACTATGTACGATGGCATCATCCTAAGTTTAGGGAAGTGATAAATAAAACACAAACCTTTAAACACAAGGTTTTGTAAGACTCTTGTTTGGGACAAGACCATATAAAGGAATACTTTACTTACAAGAAAGCACGGACATGACAGAAGAAGGGTCAGGGCATGCTGTCCCCTTTCCCCTTCTGGTTTGCTTTTTGAAACAGAGTCTCACTCTGCGGTGCATGCTGACCTTGAACTCACTTATGTAGCCCGGGCTGGCCTGGAACTCCTGATGGTTCTCCTGCCTCAGCCTCCCAGGTGCTGGGATTGTAGGTGTGCACCACTAGCCTGGCCTTCACCGCTATTCCCTGCCTCACTCTCTACTTACAAAACATCTGGTCAGTTGTGCCTTTTATTTGGAAAGTTGTTCATTTAATCTAGATAATGTATTTTTCAGTTTTAAGCCTGGTAAACAGGCTTTTTTTTCTTTTGCTTTCTCCTTTTTGTTTTTGTTTTTGTTTGCTTGTTTGTCTTTAGTATGTTTCTAGCACACGATGGTTACACTTATCACAGAGCATTAGTACATGCAGAGAACACATCTTAATTATTTTTCATCTCCTATCCCCCTCCCTCCCAGCTCCTTCTAACTCTTGGTTCCCTTTTCACTTGCAAAAGTTCTATTTTCCACTTTTCCAGTTCTTTTCTTCCATCCCCTTTCCCTCCCTTTCCTCCCTCTCCCTCTGCCTCTTATTCCCCTTCTCATTTGAAAAAGATTTCCTTTATTCTATAATCTTTCTTTTATTTTGCTCTTTTTTTATACTTTGGATTTCTCATATAAAAGAAATCACATAATATTGAAGCTTGTGTGCCTGATTTATTTTACTTAATATTATGGTCTCAGGATGCATCCATTTACCTATGAATGCTTTACATTTGTTGTTCTTTATGGCAGACTAGTGCCGCACTGCGTGTAAACACCAGATTTCTTTATCCATCCATCTGTTGATCAGTAAAAAAGCTGTTTTCAAGATTTAACCATTATAAATCACATTGCTATAAACATGAGTACGGAATATCATTGTGATATGACTTTAACTCTTTTGGGAAGATACCTACAAGGGGAACACTGAATCAAACAACATTTCTATTTTTAGGCTTTTGAAGAGTCTTGATACTGATTTCCATAGTACTTATACTAGTTTATATTCTCTCCAACAATGTAGAACAATTTCATTTTCCCGCAGCCTCACCAGCATTTGTTACCGAAGCCACAAGATTGAGTCTAAGTCTATATATCTCACTCACTATTAAACTAAAATAAAATAAATTAAAATAAAATAAAATATATAAGATTTTGAACACATCAGGAAGGCAAGAAATATCTGAAAAGAATCTTGATGGCACAAGAAATAATACCAAAAGCCAACAAATGGGATTATTAAAAGCCTCTGCTCAGCAAAGGAAACACCCACAGAGTGAAAAGACCTACAGAATGAGAAACAGATTTTCCCAGAAATTCATAGGACAGAGTACTAGCACCTAGAATATGTAAAGCACTCCAAAAAATACTTCATCATACAAAAGACCAAGTCAAAAAATAGGCAACCAAAATGAATAGACAGTTCTCAGATGCAGTACCAATGGGCAATAAATACATGAAAAAAAAAGTTAAATATCACTGACCTTCAAAGAAATGTGAATTAAAACACTGAGATTCTACCTTACTCTAGAAAAAAGGCTGTCATAAGAAATGAAATATAAAAACTCTCATATAATAGCGAGAGCACACATATACCAGACAGAGGCCTGGTCTTGTCAGAAATTCAGACTTCACACTTTCTGGTATTTCCACATTTTTTTCAGGTAGTCTGCATAAGTCCATTTGTCCTCAGTTTCCTCCTCTACTAATCAGATTTCAGCAAAATATTACAATGCATAAAATTACATAAAACATCCTGTAGCAGTCTTACACAAAGTGGAACAAACTATTTAACATCTCTGAAAATAAAGAGTTACTAGCTCACAGGTTAAAGAAAGTAAGTTGAGATAGCTGGTGTCACATGACAGGCACATAAGACTCATTAAGCTGTGACTACTACTATTGGCAATGTTACTTTATGCCTAGTCTTTGGTAGATGTGCATGTATCTTAATCAACAAGATCATTCCTGAGAAGTCAGGGACTGGAAACGGGCTTTGCATTAGGGCCTCAGCCCACGGCTTCTGGAAAGAGACACAGCACACGGTGTAGCTTTGTGTGCCCTATGATAGATTTTCAACCTGGCAATACAATTCGCTTTCATAGCACAAAGTGAGGGCCTTGTAAATTCCCACTTCAGGAGTACTCATCACCTTCAGGAAGCAAAGCACAAAGCAGTTATTCACCTCTACAGGACAGCTTCACCAAAGCCTTCTGCAGAATGCCTGCTGAAAGCCTAAAAGTTGTCACTGTTGATATATTCATAATTTTCTCCTAGGACACAGATGTCCATTAACTTCAAAGAATCGCTTCAGTTAATTCTAAGTTACCATTCCCTGTAATTTTTCATGAATAATACACTATACAATTCACAGGCTAGTGCTATTCCCATCACTTACTTTGATTTATGATTGCAAATATCCACTGCTTCGTCATTTTTGATAAGCTTTGTTGATTTCCCTGCTGGTTGTTAAAGTAGACATCAAAGTCCCCAGAGTTG